GGGCCGGTGGCGGGGGTTTCGCTGCGCTTCCCTCCGCGGCGGTTCCGGGGAGGTGGACTTCTTTAATAAGCGCTTAAGGAAAGAAGAGATAGCGTGCGGCAAAGGTGGAGAGACGTTCCGGGTGACCCTCTGTGCTCCTCTCCTTTTCGTGTGGCGTGACCAGTTTGTCCTCCCTGGGGCAGGGCTGTGTTGTCATGATCAAAGGGATGGGGTCCTGAATATAAGAAAAAAGCGACCGTATCTTCGACTGCTGGAAACAAGAGAGCTTAATTTCCTATAAATTCATACGCGGTGTTTTGACATACCTGATAGCGTACCTGTTTGTTCTCCTGCCGTTCAAGTCCGGTGCAGCCGGACCGTGGAGGTGAACGCTGTGGCTGGCCCTTAGCTCTCTGCGAGCTCCTTGGCTCGCCGTTGGGGCAGAGCTTAGAAAAGCTGCTTAGCAGCCTTCCCTTCGGTCTGTGCGCTTCTTTGTTCAGCAAGGATTCGCAGAAAAATTTGCACTTGTTTTGAGTATTGGGTCTCTTAAACTCTCGCTTGAAACTAGCCACCAGATAGACAGGTCGTTGGGATGGGGAGGTGGAATGTGAACGGTGAATGTGAACAGTACGGTGTCAGACATCTGCTTTCCTGGAGGGGGACCGACTGACAGTGCGATTTACTGGTGAACTTGGTCTTGAAGCACGTTACACTTCACAATGTTTATAGTGTATTCTAACTCATAAATAGGCTTCCCAACACATTTCTCAAGAAAAGTGTGCATTGTTTACTTTTAATAAGAAACTTGCTAAGAAAGAGAGGGAGAATGGGAATAAAACTCGTAAGAATGAATTGCAAAATAAAGGTGGAAAACGAACTTGAGTGCATCAAACCTGGAGGGGAACTGTTTGGAAAGCTGTCTTAAAAGGGTTTCTACAGCTTACTATATGTTGTAGTATAGCTTTATTTTAAACAGATACTAAAATAAATAGCTGTCTTGGTGAGACAATTGCATTGTATTGGGTGTTGGTTTGTTCTCTTGTTTTTGTTTGTTTCAGTTTTTTTTTTTACCAGATCTCTCTTCTGTTTAAAAAGACCAATAAGCATAAAATGACCTTGCTTCTCATTAGACAATATCTCAGCTCTGTTTGCCTGTTACTATCTCTAAGCAATTAATAAATGGAGAAGGAAATTTTTAATATGGTACATGCACTAGAGTAGGGACTAGTCTCTTAAGTGTTCTCAATATTACAGAAGTTTAAAGGATAGATGTACGAGGAAAATATTTAATGTAAAGAATTTCAAAGCAATCTTCTAATAGCTCTAGGCATCTGGCCCTCGGGGAGTTGAGGGTCTGCTTTTATATATTTGATATGAACTCAAAACTCACTTATTGAAGGAGACGAGCTATATAAAATACCTGACACAATGCATCTTTCAGGAGATAATTCGGTTATGAAGGGCTGAAGTGAAATTGGAAAAAATCGGCATAATGATAGAGTTCTTAGCAAGACTCAATCTTCCAGTACTGTTCTGAGGGAATGCAGAAAACTATTCTGTAAGCAAACACATCTATTAAAAGAAATTCTTAATGACTTTTAAGTGTCTGTCTTTGGAAACAGAAAGCCTGATTGAAAAAGTCAGTGCTTAGCATTTCTTTACAGTGAGCTCTGGGGGAATTCATGCAAGGTGTTGTGACAGGTTTCCTCAGGAATCAGCTCATGGTCAGGCCTAAACACTATTTTATGTTTTCTGTGATGACATCCAGGTTTTGGGAAGGACTAGCAGATATGTGTTGTTGTGATCGTTTGTATTAGTAAAGTAAATCCCACTGAACACATTGTACTTAGTTCAGTGGCACAGATAACATTCTCACTGAATCTGCTTTCAGCTCTGTACTTGGATTCTTCCAGAATCCTGTGAAATCTGAACTTGTGTATCCAAAAGCAGTACAAAACACGTTTGTCTTTGAATATGGTATTCTTGAAATGGACAGGTGGTAGGGAAAGCTAGTAAAAAATGAGAGGAAAAAAATTTAAGGTAGCTTCACTATCTCCATAAGGATGAAGGGGCTTGGATTAAGTGAAATAGCTGTACCTGATCTTAAGAAGCTAGTGCTGTTTTTCAGTGTAGAGGAAACGTGCTGTCTGGGGACAGGAGATGTCTTGCAAGGAAGCGAAAGCGGGTGAGAGGGTAAGGGTGAAATAGTGCTTGCAGGTGTGTTAAGGAAGTTCAAAGCTCTGCTTAAGTTGCTTCATTAGACCTCGATGACCTTCACTGTGATTGTATGTTTCTCCTTAAAATGCTATGGTTAGTTATTCAACTCCCAGTAAATCACGTAGTAGTATAATTTGTATTTAATGAGTTAACCCTGGTTCCCATGGTGAACCGATCTGGGGAATGAGACTGGCTGAAAATTCTTCCCTCCCTCTTCACAGTTGAACTTACCTCTGCGCTGGGTCCCTGTGTGGCTCCCCAAGGCTCAGTTGGGAGCCAGGCTTAACCTGGGAGAAGGTTTGGGTATGTAGAAAGGGAAGGAGTGGAGCTGAGTAGAACCATCCTGTCTGTCCAGCTGCAGCTCCTCAGAGAAGCTTGCCTGTTTATAAAGCCAAGCAGGAGGCAAGCATGTATAAGAAGAATGTATGCACTTAAGGGCTTTATTCCCAGCGTATAATGTGGAAGCCCGATTTTTGATTACTGTGCTGTATCATTCTGTTGAGGCAGGCTTCTGCCTTGAGGTTTCGGTCTGGCAGGTTTAAAGGGTTCTATAATCTAAATTAGTGGATTTGTGGTGATTGGGGACTGACGGCTTGTGAAGTAGCTGGATTTTTTTTTTGTCCAGGAATTCATGTTCATGCCTTAATTCCTTTCTGGAGACCAGAGTAAATTAATAACTAGCTTCTTGTTTGGGGCTCGTTAGACTTTTAGCTGTATGCTCTGCAGCTCCTGTTCCCTTAGTATGGGTCTTAGGGTCTGCATAGCATGGAACTTCCTTGCTTTTTGTTAACTAACCCCTTGAATAGTTGTTTCAAATAATGACAGATTCATTCAGAAATGTTAATTCTGTTGCAACATATGCTTTAGGGTGGGCCTTGTTTCATTTGTTAATTAATAAATTGGAGGAAGATAGAAAACTGATGCAATTATATCACTCTAATCTTCAATTCTGTTTTTGACAGTTTCTGTTTGGAAGACCAGTTCTAAACCTCAGGCTGAGTTGGAGTTTGTTTCTCGTGGCAGCCCTATGGCATAACCCTGCTGTAAAGCAGTTTCTTGACATGCTGCATAGAGAGCCCCTTAATTATGCTGTTAGTATGTTGTGTGAATAGTAAAGAACTGCTTGACTAATAGCACTTTTTTTCCCCAGTAAGTTTACCTCAATGTTATGAAGATACTGGATTAGAGGGCTGGATTTAATTTTGTTAAGGCTTCTACAGTTTGTTAAATATGTAAATCAAGATGTTTAATAGGTCTAGGAGTTTCTCCAAAAAGGAGGATTTGCTTTTTTATTCTGTCTCTTTCAGAACTGCAAGCTGTCACAAAGTAGTTTAGAGTAAAGTATGATTTTTCTTTCTGTAATTACATTATTTCAGTGAGCACAGATGAAACTCAAACACCGATGTTTCTCTGCGGGTTTTTTCTTCCTGCTCTTGAAGGATTTGCTTTAAAACTGCAAAGCTTAGTTAGCATTTGGTACAGATGTGTAGGAATGACTTTCTTAATATCTGATTTACCTTGTGTATTTCTTCTGAACAGTTGAATGCTTCCATATTACTAGTGAAGAACTTATCTTTGAGTGGCTTAGATATATGGGTAATTACTGGGATAAAGGGTGTCTAGCAAATTATTACTTAGATGTAAAACTTGAAGTAGCATGAATGAGCTTGGTTTTAGTGCTGTTCTGCAGTGAGGAGCGTTACTGTTTTAACTTAACTTAGAGCGCCTGTTTCTTTCTGGAATTCACAAACATTCCATGCATATATTGCAGTGAGTGACCAACTTTCTTAATGGACCAAATAATGTTTAAAATATCTCTAGTCTAATTAATATTATCAACACTTTTTAACAAAAAGATATGCAGTGCAGTTCTACTAAGCACTTACTAACTGGAAATCTTTCTTCTCATTATAGATCATGTATAGCCTTTGGACCCAAGAATCGCTCGATTGGTGCTGCAGCTAAAAGCCAGGTGAGCGTATAGTTTGGGTAAAAGCAACTTTAGTAGTCAAAAATCGATTAGCAGAATGTATTTTTTTATCACTGAAGATTACAAACGTCTCTGAGCTGGTGTCCTGGTGTCTCCATAACTGTAATGAACAGCTGAGCTTAATTCAGCTGTTCGGCATGTAATGCTGCTTTGTCATCTTGGATAGAAATCAAAGGGTTGATAGTTACACATATTGAAATGTAAAAAAAAAAATCTTTGCCTCTTAAGAACTTCCAATAAATACTAATCTTTTTTTTTTTAGGTTGCAAATGTAAATTCTAAAGCTCAGCAGTAGTGTTCCATCCTACCTTAGCTTGTTCCAGTTCCTGTGCATTACGATAGCTTTTAATTATGTGGCTACATTGTATAGAATTCCATTAAGTGTATAACTTTGGCAGAAAGGGGACCTACTTGAGTGTAAAAATATTGCTTTCTTGACTCTCTGTGGTTGAATTACAATCTAAATACCTGTCTTAGGCATTCTTGCTCATACTTTGAGTTTCTGTTGGTGTAGGTAGGTAAATATGATTTAAGGACTGCAAAGAAGTTAAGCTGATTTGTCCTGCTCGTGACATTTGGGTCCTGCTGTATCGTATCTTATGTTGCTGTGAAACCCCTATAAAACATGATTTTTTTTTTGAAGTCCTCTACAGGAAGTGACTATTCAAACACTTGGTTTTTCTTAGCCTAAAATACCTAGAGATGTGTGAAGATTCATTATCTAGAATACAAAAATGATTGGACACAACCATGTTATTCAAGAACAGAAGAACTGTGCTAGAACTAAATACAGATGTTTTTTCTGGAATTGAGTGTCTGCTTAGCTTAAAGAAATTCATTGATACAGAGATCCAGTAGAGATGAGGTATGTCCTGCAGAAACTAAACTTACAGAAAATCAAAACCAGGTTACTTAGGAAATAGACACTTGACTGAAACTGAATCACAGGTAAATGTTATATGGTACGGTGCTTGTCTGCTTTGTCAATTACTGTGCTTTTTTTCAGTATGTGTCTTGCTCTAATATAAATGAAAGAATTAAACAAGTTTACTTGCACTACACGAAAACAAGCTATAATGATTTTTCACTTCTCCATGTGCGCTGATCTCTGCCATTAATAAAAGACAATCTACCTTTTGTCAGTTGAATCAAGTTGACAGTATCATCTTGGGGCCCTCCTGACTTTTTTTAAAGCTTCATGACAAGGTCCCTGAGCTGTTTTGTGAGACTGTCTGTGTGTTGACTGTCAACGTGCATGTGATGAACCTGAACTGGAGTTTACATCGATATGCTTGTTATGTTTGCTAAATTACTGGCTGCAACGCAGTAGAAAGGTAGGGTGGTAGGAAACAGGTAAATGGGAAAGACACTTGGCTAACATTTTTAAATTGTCCTACACATATGCTATGAAAATTGAGTGCTATATTAATCAATATTTGATAGAATCTTGGCTCAGTTTTCTAGCATACATTTTATTTTAAACCTCAAATTCCTGTAGGTTACCTGAGCTATCAGAGGGAAGTAGCCTTCTAGCAACTGCCCTGGTACTATTAAGATACAAATGACAAAATAGTCTGGCGAGGGAAGCATGAGAACAAAACTCTGTCTTCTGTTTGAAATTCAGATGTTCCCTTGACATGTTGTATTAAAGATTTCTTTTCCTCTAGGTTATTTCAAATGCAAAGAATACAGTACAAAGTTTTAAAAGATTTCATGGTCGTGCATTCTCAGATCCCTTTGTTCAAGCTGAAAAAGCAAGCCTTGCGTATGAACTTGTCCAGCTGCCAACAGGCTCAACTGGCATCAAGGTAAGTCTGGCATCTTTGAAAAAGAGCCAGAAGAGGAAACTGATAGTTTCCTTTTATCTCTTTATTTTGAATCTGCTTGCTGTAGTTTCTGTTCTCTTGTGAATGGAAAGTCTTAAACAGGGAATAGAAGACTAATAATGCAGATGGTCTCTCCAGGTGTTAGGTGAGACTGACTTTACAGTTATACAATTTCTCTGCCTTGCAAAGCCAGTCCCACACAAACAAGTGCTTTTTTCCTTCACTCCATGGTGAATTTGGAAGACAAGCTACTTGACTAGTGTACTTATTTAGCTGCTGTCCAGATACTGCAAGGGTGTAAGATGTCAGCTTAGTACTTCAGGTGAAGTGGTAAAAACTTGTCTCTTTCAACATTGGCTGAACTTCTGATTTGGATTTTAGCAGTAACTAACTTACTCCAAGACAGTAGGGAGGAAGGCGTCCTAGGCATTGTCTAGCAATCGGGATTCAAAAAAAACCTTGTGTCCAGAGCAGCTTTGTGTATGTGAATTCTTAAATGCACATTCCAGTGCTTATGGATTACCTTCTTGCACTTGCTGTGCACAAGCTAGGCTATCAGAGAGAAGGTTGCATAGAGCTGCATTACTTTTTAAGCTTGCTTTTAGTAAAGACTTTCTTGCATGTGTTCCTTATGTTTGTAGTGCATGATTTTTACTGTAGTGTAACATGTGTACACAATTTTTATTTGAAGGCCATGTATATGGAAGAAGAAAGAAACTTTACTATTGAACAGGTGACAGGAATGCTTCTTACCAAATTAAAAGAGACTGCTGAGAATGCGCTTAAGAAGCCTGTAGTTGACTGCGTTGTTTCTGTAAGTATGTGATAGTAAATAAGTAAATATTTGGTTAGTGTCATAAACTGAAGAGATTGGTGGTAATAGCATTAAATTGCCCATTAAACCTGAATATTCAGGTCTTTGATTTTTCTGTTTAAAACTGAATGTTTCTCCAAAACTAGACTTGCTTCATTAATGGTGAAATGTCTTAAAATTGCTGCTAATTAGCAGCATAAATAATATTTGATACCTGCTTCTGGTTCTTTGCTCCTAAAATGAGTGGCTTGTGAGAGGGAATGGAAAAAGGTTCACAAAAAGACCTTTGTCTTCATGTAATGTTTTCTTTACTTTTTCTCTATTGCAACTGAAGTGAACATTACATTTGAAGGATACCTCAGCTGTTCTCTATACTGAATCCCTATACACACTTGTAACTATTTGCTAAAGGTGGCTCTTCTAAATGTTAATATTAACTATCTGATCTTGCAGGTTCCTTGTTTCTACACAGATGCAGAAAGGAGATCTGTGATGGATGCTACACAGATTGCTGGTCTCAACTGTCTGAGACTAATAAATGAAACAACTGCAGGTAATACCTTCCTTTCTCTCCCTCCCTTAATGTCGTAGTTTTATTAGATAAAAGGGCTTTTAATCTGTCACTGATCCATGCCCTCTGGAATTACTGCTGGTTTTGTAAACTTAAAATAGATTAGTTGATCATAAAGTTTCTTAACCTCTGGTCTGCTTTTTTAATTGCTTTACAGAGGCATAAAGATATTTCTTGAATATCTGTTTTAATGCAGCTACTAGGAGGGGATAATGCTGTTTAATGTTCTCCCATGTTCCTTTAGCATTGGGAATTTTGTTTTAACGAGATACCAATTTCTGTAGCTTGAAAAGTAAGATGAAATGCTAATGCTCTTTACTGATGTACCACTTATTTCTTAAGACAACTAAATCTCCTGACTATACTCTTTGACTCTTCTTTCTGTGTAGTTGCCCTTGCATATGGGATCTATAAGCAAGACCTGCCTGCCTTGGAAGAGAAGCCACGGAATGTTGTTTTTGTGGACATGGGGCATTCTGCATATCAAGTTTCTGTTTGTGCATTCAACAAAGGAAAACTGAAAGTAAACAATCTGTTATGCATCCATTTTAATCACCAGTAGAAATATTCATCAGTACATACATGGACTGTGACAGGCAAGCTTGCTTGTCTTTACATAAGCACGTCCAGACAGCTCAACTCATATTCTTAAAATTGCACTTTGTCTGGAGTTAAAAGTAGGGCAGGGAACTAGAGAGCTTTTGAGTGATATATGGAGGAAGCAAACATGCCTTAATCAGCAGACTTTGGCAAAGAATAAAAAACCTGGATTAAATTATTTATTCAGGAATTATCATATCTGACTAGATGCTGCTTTCAAAAAATACTCGAGTTCAGTCATGAGATCTAGCACTAAAACAGGAATTCCTAGAACAGTGTAAGTGACAAACATTTTTTTTTTAACGCTCACTGTGGTGTTCATGTAAAGAGTAAAAACATTCTTAATTACTTTAGGCTGCAAATGGAAGCTAAGCAGGTTATAGTGTACACGTAAGTTGCCAAAGCATTACTATCTTCCAGCAAATACCAACATTTCTTAGTTGTCTCTCTTACAATTACAATCTGGATTTTTGCAGTTCCAATAACTTTCTCTCAATCGGCTAGAGAAACAAACACAAACTTCAAAGCATGGGGTAGTGAAACAAAGAGAAGGCAAGAGTTCTGAAAACATTAGTTTTGTTGTAGTTCTGTTTCCTCTTGTGAGGAAACATAACCTACTTTGTTTCTCTCAGATTTGTCTTTTAAACTTTGAAACCATAGAAGTATTGAAGGGATGCTTTTCAGTACAGAATGGAGAGCTGCACAGCAAGGCAGTTAAAACAGAGTAGAGACCAAACCTAGTCTGAAAGAGTATTGAGAATAATGTGATATTTTACTGGTTTCTATTCCAAAAAAAGTTATGTTCACAGTATGTTTAAAGAGTAGAATCAGCTGAGGTGGATGGGCTACAGATGTTCTTTGCAGATAATTCCTTCATCAAAAATGAGCACCTATTTGCAAGAGTTAATAGCATTTATTATCTTCATGTTTTATTTTTAGCTTGGTGTAAGCATGTTCCACCCTTATGAGGCATCAAATATTAAACTGGGCTATGAGTCAAACTGACAGTGGCTAAGCAGTTTGGAAACTCTGATGGTCTGCTTACAGTACAAGTTACTTGAACAGATGGTGTTGCTAAGCCTTGCCCTATCTTCCTAAACTACTTCTAGAAGTTGTCACCTCATTACAGGAAGGCTGGGTGCCCAAGGCTGCTTTTTAGCATTTGAGATAGTGGATGTTTTTTCCTCCTGGAGCTTGTAACTGCTGCATGTATGCACTGTAATTCGTGTGACAACTACCATTCACAAAGATGTCTGATATTTTTGTAGCTGCCAGAATTTGTCTCTGGTAATGGTGGTTTTCTCCAACAGCATTTTGAACATACTGTATCTAATATCAGCTACAAAAGGTATAGGATAATGATTTAGACTTGGTAGGCTTTTAAAAAAAAAAAAGGCATCTCTTAGGATGTGTATGACTATTACTGCAGTTGCAATCCACATAAACTATCAGATGTTAGTGATGCAATTACTACTTAGGTTGCCCTGAAATATAAGAGAATAGCTTAATTGTTGCCAGCAGTGTCCATGAAATCTGAAAGATGAGTATGGGACATAGCTTTATTGTTTGGGATAGGTTAGACTTCTAGACGAGGCTTATCAAAAGAAACTCCTCACTGGCGATGGCAACGGCAGAATAAAAATGAGCTGTACTGGATTTCTTCCTGTTGTGGCTGCACCAGTATAATTCTTCCTCCGTAGTAATGTTGTGATACTTGCTTTAATTTAAAGTTGGACTATATTTGAAACAAAGAAGTGCTTTGACATTAACTGCTAATTGGTTTCACTGAAGTAATGACAAATTGTACTATTACTGAAGAGTTCAATTTTTTTAAGGTTCTTGCTACATCATTTGATACAACACTTGGAGGCAGGAAGTTTGATGAGATGCTAGTGGAATACTTTTGTGAAGAATTTGGAAAGAAATATAAACTAGACATAAAGTCAAAGATTCGTGCGTTGTTGAGGCTATACCAGGAATGTGAAAAACTGAAAAAATTGATGAGCGCTAATGCCTCTGATCTCCCGATGAACATAGAATGCTTCATGAATGACATAGATGTCTCTGGAACAATGAACAGGTAATGTTTATACTTTTACAAAGGTAAGCTTTAGAGTGCCCTTCATTCAAGTTGCTTCAGTCAAGAAAGAAACTTGGTATAAAGTACCAGTTCTTAGGACTGGAGGGAGGTGGGAAATCTAAGAACAACATGTGCAGGGGTGCTGCTCAAAATGATAACATTTAGATACTGGTCAGTGGCCTTGAGTTAGGAGGAAGGGCTGTGAATGTCGCAAGTACATCTAGATTACCAGAACCAAGTTTGTCTGGCAGGATATACTAAATAAGAACAAAACTAGGATTGGAGAGAGAAAACCCCACAGTACATGGTTAAAATGTCATTCTTTCAATTTTGGCATCCCGTTGTATTTCCAGTATTAACTTGCTTATGGAATGCTATAGCTTTATTTACGACTTCTTCCAACAGAAGCAATTTTTTAGAGATGTGTGATGGACTCCTTGCAAGAGTAGAACCACCCCTTCGCAGTGTGCTGGAGCAAGCCAGTAAGTGTATGCACATTCTGTATTCTGCATACAGACGAGATCCATAATACAAGCTTCCTTTGAGTGTTGACAGAACTTGGACAGATGGATTTAGCACAGCTAACAATTTCTTGCTTAGCAGTTACAAGCTTTTTAAAACATTTTCACGCAAGCTAAGATCTGAAATTCTTAATGCTTAGAAACTTGGAGAACAAGCTTAAAAATAGTGGTTGCTCTGGTAAAACTTTTAGTTTACAATGTCAGTATATTCACTTAAAACAGAAACATTAATCTGTAAAACTAACGTCTGACTCCTTTCTAGAGTTAAAGAAGGAGGATATTTATGCAGTAGAGATAGTTGGTGGTACCACAAGAATCCCTGCTGTAAAAGAGAAGATCAGTAAATTTTTTGGCAAAGAAGTCAGTACAACTTTGAATGCAGATGAGGCTGTTGCACGAGGTTGTGCGCTGCAGGTAAAAAGTGCTGTGTGTTGTAGCTGTGAATATTTTTATTGAAATCCATAAGTACTGGAGCCAGAGTCCACAGGTAACATGAAAGGTATTTCATGGGTATCACAGAATGGGTTCGAATAGGCTTCAGGAAGGTGGTTGGAAGAATGAGAATAGCAGCTTTAAGTGATTCCTTTGTGCTGTTTGTCTAAGCCAGATCAGTGGATCAGCGTAGCTTGTTGAGGTGAAACATATACTCTGCTTCTGCTATGGCTGGAAACTGGTAGTCTGTTAAAGATCATATGATGATGTTTTTTCCCCTGCCCCGGCTCCTCTGGGGGCCTGGGTTAAACAGGGGAAAAAAAAGTTTTTTACAGGACTACTGATAAACTTGTGATATGGCAATTGCCATAATAACATGGATGGAAATGAAAGCTTGGGTTCTTGCTAATGGAAATCTCTGTCCTGAGCTGGAATCAGTTGCTGTTGAATGGCTTAAGCGGTAGTAAATACTCTGTAGTTACTAGTGCTCCTGTCTCTTGAGTGCACCTTAAGTTTGCTCTGATCACCTCACTTCTCTCTTCAAACATTTAATATGTGCTTAGAGCTCTGTTCCATCAGTGGTACGAACTAGCTATTGGAATCCACTTAAAGAGAATTTTGTGTTAAGGTATGCAAAAAAACCCTGGTACTATGTCACTCTAAAAAGTAATTGAGGTTTTCTGATTTCTTATGTTTGTACTAAAAACAACTCAGTAGCCCAACTATAGCAAACCAAACATGATGGCTCCAAATTAAAACTTGTGTATTTCCGTTTTCAGAGTGAACAGATTGTGACAGCTTCCTGAAAAGGAAGGGTACATATGAGCTTCCAGTGCTTGTTACGCAGGTCCCAAGTCCATCAGTATTAGTCTCCCTCAACCTAGAGTAAATCTACATATTAAGCAGCGTAAATACTACTTGCTGAATTAAATTACTATTCACCTGAAGTTTGACTGTTTGTAATATGACTCTTGTGCTCTTTCAGTGTGCTATTTTATCCCCGGCTTTCAAAGTGAGAGAATTTTCTATCACGGATTTGATACCGTATCCTATTTCTTTACGATGGAATTCACCAGCAGAGGAAGGGTTAAGGTAAAAAAAGTTCAATCTTCTTGCATGATTACATACAACTTAAAACTAACTGATGACAACTAGAGTAAATAACACGTTTAGAACAGTGCCTATTTAACAATTTAGATTTTGATACTTTTCTGAAGTTAATGATAGTAGAAAACAAAACCAAGGATGGATGCCAGTTTAGCATTTCCTTGTCACTTCTTAAAGCTAACAAAACTCTTCTAGGTACTCTTATACCTTAAGGAAAAGCTGCTTTATCAGATGCATTATCCCACATACTGAACAAATGCTTTGTTTTCTCTTACAGTGACTGTGAGGTCTTTCCCAAGAACCACGCTGCTCCATTTTCTAAGGTCCTCACATTCTACAGAAAGGAACCTTTTACTCTTGAGGCGTACTACAGTTCTCCCAAGGAGTTGCCTTACCCAGATCCTGCTATAGGTTAAGACCATTCTGTAGCTTTAGGCTTTATTAATAGTCTTGTACATGTTTCAGGACTTCTTTCTGTCTAATTATATAGTCTGGAAAGTGCAACCTACTACAGATGCTGTAGGGACAGGTTTCCAAAGTCATGGATCTACAGTAAAATCAGTGGACTAACATGAAGTTTATGGACCAATAGGCTAAATAAAGAGCATCCTAATGTTGGAGCAAACCTGAAAGGGGCATACTTAGGATTGTGCAGTCTTTTACTATGATACAAGTAACATCAGCTTTTACAGTATACCATAGAGAGTTTCTAATAGCCGTGTATCCTACATTGCTAAGTAAAAAAATGAATTGTTTGACTTGAGTAGGATTTGATATCCTCCGAGCGCATCGCAGTGATCTGTTGTCAGCAACAGTCAGGTTTTACTTTACGTTCAGCGATTAAGTTAATCAAATGGTATGTTTTCTTCTCTCTGGGATTGTTTAGCTCACTTCTTGGTTCAAAAAGTCACTCCTCAAACAGATGGATCCAGTTCAAAAGTGAAAGTCAAAGTTAGAGTAAATATCCATGGTATCTTCGGTGTTTCAAGTGCATCTTTAGTGGAGGTTCATAAATCAGATGAGAATGAAGAGCCTATGGAAACAGATCAGCACGCAAAAGAGGAAGAGGTAATAGACTTCATTGCTGTTAGCCACTTGGAAAACTGATGAAGCACAATTGGCCAAGTTCTGGGAAGGTTCTAAGACTTGTGTAAGGATTTAGCAGGTGTGTCCAGTAACTAAAATACGAAGATGTGATTAAGTACTAATTGAAGTACGTCATGCCAGTGACAGATCTCTTGAAACCAGGACTGTGAAGTATAGATGAAACTCTTAATCATGCTAGGAGTGAGCTGTTACTTGCCTGAGCAAAGACTAGAAGCTTATAACTTATGCCTTTGAGACTCTACTTCAGTTTTCATTCTGTTTCTTCTTTTGTCTAAAGAACATTAGATTTAAGTGAAGTGATCAGCCTAAGAATTGAAACAATGATCTGCATATGCATTGTTTAATATGTCAAATTGGATCTCTTTATGAATTTCAGAAGATGCAAGTAGACCAGGAAGAGCAACAAAAGACTGAAGAACAACAGCAGGCTCAACCTGAAAATAAGGCAGAGTCTGAAGAGATGGAGGTAATGTGAAAATCTGAGACACTTCTGTTTTCTTAGAGGGTACTTCTGGAAGATTCATAAGAATGTAGCGTGTGAGCCCATCTGCTGCCTTTGTCATAGCTCTGGAAGCTAAACTTTTATTTGAATATATTGGCAGTCTGTATTGTGATTAGAGCTTTAGAAGTGCATAAATGGCATGGATAATTGCAGGCCTGTCAAGTGACCTAGTGCTGATAAAATGGGTGAACTCTCTTGTTCATGGTACTAGAAAAATGTTCTACTACAAGCATCATCACCCCCATGAATGTAGCCGGTGTGCCTGGAAAAGGTCAGTAGTTGCATTAATTATCTCTGACTTCTTTAGCAGCTGAAGTGTCAGAATGACAGATCGTAGTGTGTAGTTCTGAGGTTGAGGTGTACTGATTCAGTAATACTTTTTCCTACCATGAGTCTTGAATAGTCAGCTTTGAATATATTTCTTTAACGCAGACTTCTCAGGCCGACTCAAAAGACAAGAAAGTGGATCAACCGCCTCAGGCCAAGAAGGCTAAAGTAAAGACTACTACAGTGGACCTTCCCATTGAGAATCAGTTGGTGTGGCAGATAGGGAAAGATATGCTGAACTTATTCATTGAGAATGAGGTAAACTCTTACTTGACCAAGCTAAAAACTTCACTAGTTGATCTCCAGAAATTTTGCTGTTCACTAAACACAGTTAACATTCAAAGGTGATCAAGGAAAGAGGAAAAAGGGGGAAAAATGCAGTTTTTTGTGAGGTGAACAACAGTGCCTCATGGAGCCAAAGTATATTATTATTGTTATTTGAATGCTGTAACTTTTACTGAAGAGGTGTTCTGCAGGAAAGCTAGTTCACAAGGTGACTTGGTTCCAAAATCGGGTGCGGTTACAAGGTACTCGATGGCTGCTACCATCAGGGTGAAGGTTCCTCAACTGGAACAAGACTGTTCTGTGCTATATTGGATATCCCACCAAAACTGAAATTAGTTTTTATTCACGTGCTTGTGTTTAGAACAGTTCTGTAAACTACAGTATTTAAAAAGCTTAGTCAAACTTAAGCCTTTGCTAACAAGGTATCCTGGCTTTTTAGCCAACTAATTTGATAACTTGTTCACAGGGTAAAATGATAATGCAGGATAAGCTAGAGAAAGAGAGGAATGATGCCAAGAATGCAGTGGAAGAATATGTGTATGATATGAGAGACAAACTCTGCGGTATCTATGAGAAATTCGTTAGTGAAGATGTAAGTATTTCTGGCTTGATTGTCTTCTACTATATTTTGTTGCAGTGAACAGTTGTATTTTATTAACCTTTGACCTGTATCAGATACTGTGTTTACTTAGACTGTATTTTCAGACTTCAAATTTGGAGAAACAGCTTTTAACCTTTCTGGCTATGAAGATAACCTTCTAAATGTGGCCCAAGTACAAGCAGGTGGTACCCAGGATATACTGTGTGTTCTTTTCCAAAGCAGTTGCAGCAATTAAGATGCTATCAGAGCATGTGTTTTCAGACTGAAACAGACTAGGAGCACCTGCACAGTCATTTTAAGGCAACCTGTTCTATCTTGGCTCTTTGTCAGTATTTAGGAATTGTTTAACACTAAAAAAATAAAGAACAAGCCTACCTAGGAACGCAGTAGGTAGGATTAGTCTGACTAAATGTGGGCACCTGTATCTGGACAGGCTGCCTAAAAATCTCTTGGTATTATTAATGAGCTTTCCCTGGTGTACTGAAGGAGTTTGGTGTGTAATTAATATAACTCTAAGTTAGATGACTACACTAGTCAGATGAATCACTCCAAACTCTTGACTAGATCTCCAGTGATTATAACGGGAGCCTTGCCAGCCAAGGTGTCTGTAGAGCCTAGATACCTACATCAGAGCTAAAATTGGGACAAGTCAAGTGAGATTCATGGCACCTCTGCTAAAGATAAGTTTCACTCTGTTCTCAGGCTTGCTCATACAGTGATGATGAAAATGTGAGGGGGGGTGGGGGGAGAAGGAAAAAAATAGGCTTTTATGTGACAGCATTGATCTAACCGTGGGTGTCAGAGGTGGTTCTTCCTTAGGCCTGGTCTCCACTGTGAAGCCATACTGAAGAATATTTCTTATTTTTCACTAAAATAAGATAAAGAGTTTCAGACAGTTCTTTACATCCTAAAAATGTAGCCCTTCCAGAAAGGTTCCAAGTATCATTTAATACCATCTACCATCTAATAGAATTCTCTCACCTACCTATTTTGTGTGGATTGCTTCAGGATCGAAATAGTTTCACACTGAAGCTGGAAGATACAGAAAATTGGCTTTATGAAGATGGTGAAGACCAACCCAAACAAATTTACATTGATAAACTGATGGAATTGAAGGTAAGTGGTTCTTGCATTCCCATCAGAATTTACTGAATCTGGAGAACTTTGTTTAAGTGGGGAGCTGTCTTAGGTCTACTGATTCAGAGATTAGCACTGGTAACAAACTGCTTGGTTTGCTTATGAGGTATACAAGGAGCAGATCTCCAATAGAGCTGTAACAATACAGGGTTGAGGGAGACTCAGTCCCTCCTGCAAGTGGAGGGAAGAGTAGAAGTTCCACAGGCGTTCAGACATGTTGATGTACCCTGTCAGATCTTGCAGGATCACGTGTGGTGCTGTGTGGTTTTTGATACCTGTTGTACTTTGTTTCAGACTCTGGGTCAACCTATCCAGGCAAGATTTCAAGAATCGGAGGAAAGACCAAAAGCGTTTGAGGACTTAGGGAAGCAAATTCAACAGTACATGAAAACTGTTGATGCATTCAAAGCAAAGGTATTTCCATACTTAATTTCTGGCAAATGCAGGAAAGTGGTATGAATCTCTTCTGAATTTTAAGTAAGCTCCTTTAAAGAAAAAGCTGGTGCGACCCCCTGGCTAGCTTCTGAGTTCTTGATATGTACCGTATTTTCAGAAGTGGATGTTGGCTTGAAAAGCTGACAGTTTTTTAATCGGGTGTTGATTTCCTCATGGAGGGATAATGCCAACAGCAGTAGAACTTCAGTTCTCTGGTTACAGAGCTGTGGGTGATCAGCTTAATTGCTCTGCTAACTACAACAGCCTTCTGCTAAATGGTCTTTCTAGTATTTTGAAGCTAAAAGCTTGAAGAAATAAGCATGCAATTTAGATGTTCAAAACAAATATTTGCACAGCTACTACTAATTTGGCTGTTCCAGGATGAACAGTACGACCATCTAGATGAAGCAGATGTAGCGAAAGTGGAGAAGAGTGCAAATGAAGCTATGGAGTGGATGAACAACAAACTTAATCTTCAAAACAAGAGAAGTCTTACTTTGGACCCAGTTATAAAAGCTAAAGACATACAAGCTAAAACTAAAGTAAGTCTTTCTACATAATTTGGAAAATTATAACATGGAAATCCATAATTTCCATGAATCTTTCTGTTTCTTTGTCTAGTTGTTTGTGCCCAGGGGAAAACTCTGAGGCAAGAGATCTATAGTAGGACAGTGACTGGGTATTGATCTGTTAAATGTGTATTGGGGGAACATCGGCGGTCAGCTTGAATATCCATCTGGTGTCGTCAAAAGTCAATTTGAGCAACTGCTGGTAGGTAAGACGCTGTTAGAAATGTTTCTATTTCTGTGTTTTCTAGGAATTGGCAAGTATTTGTAATCCTGTAGTCACCAAACCGAAACCCAAAGTTGAACTCCCGAAGGAGGAGCAGAAACCAGCTGAGCCGAATGGACCAGTAGAAGGCCAGGGAGAAGCCAACAGCGGGTCCCAGGCTGCGGAAGAGAGCGCCGCTGCCCCCACAGCCACGGAGAAGAAGCTTCCCGAAATGGACATTGACTGAATTTCAGCACTTGTTTATATTATTGCAAACTACAATAAAGCTTTAAGTTGTCAACTTTGTATGTTCTGAATACAAATTGAAGCAAGTGAATACCGCAGTGCTCTTAGGAATTTTTGGAGAGGTTTGGTCAATGCCTCAAGTCAGAACACTTAGGTAGCTAACGACTCAGTCACATAAGCAGTATTTCTTGCCGTTAACGATTGTATTTAGAAGTTTTGGTATTCTTACTAGACCTGCAGGAACAGCCATAAGCTGATTCTGTTTTTAATGTCCGGGGTGAGTCAATCTTATTTTGAAGTAGTGGGACAGCAACCTCTCAAGTCTAGCTTGGCACACAGTCGTTTGTTCACGTTCTCTTGTGGGTTATGGCAACAGGGTTCACACGAAGTGCCCGTTAACGCTAGGACTGCAAGAAGAGACTGGGGGAGAGGGGGTGCTCCTGCTAGAGCCTGAAGCATAGTCTTTCATTCGCTCATCTCAGTCTAGCCCTTGTTTTCGTGTTAACACACTATAGATCTATTTTGATTTGCAGTCAGACAGTTCATAGTTCCAGCAGGTTTGCAAAGCAGTGGGTGGTAGTATCAGTATGTTTAGGTCCTCAGCTGGTGCCCTCGCATCTGGCCTGGCCGGCTTGACTCGGAGAGCGGCAGCTCCTGCGGATCAGGCTATGAAGGTCCTCCTGGCCAGGAAGGGGTCCTCCTGGCACGCTCCCCAGCTAATCGGACCGTGTAAACTTTGTCACTAGTTAAATTAGCTGCTTGTAGAAGGGATGAATACTTGTATTTCAGCTGCCTACACCGACAGTCGATCCTGACTTGTTCATAACTTTTTCTGGAGGGGGTATGCTTGTTTCCACAAGGCCCTTGTTTGGAATGCTTGGGGTTTGGTTTTGTCTTTTTTTTTTTCCCCCAGGAAAAGAAAGACCTGACCCATTTGGCATTTTTTTTTTTCCTATGAGCTTTATCCAATGATTTGCTTCTAGTACTGGTTGTTCTTAAACTTGCAAACATTAATTTGTATGTGTTTAAAATCCGAAGCCGAAACACCCATTCGGCTATTGCAAGAAATAAATGCCGTGGATTCTACTGGATGGCCTTCTCCCGCTGTTGATTGCGATGGAGAGAACAGGGTCTCGGGGTCGATGCCAGGGCCGCGTCCTTCGTTGCCGGAGGCGCGCGCAGAGCTCTGCCCTGCCGCACAAAGGCTTTAATGCTTGTTCGTGCCGACAGGGCGAGGT